TTCGTTTTCTTTTTTTTTTTTTTTTTTTTTTTCAAAACTTCCACGCAGCCACGAAGCTGCCACCGGCGGCTTGTAAAAATTTGTGCCCCGCCGATCGCGATCAAATCGTCGGCAGGCCCTCTCGGACAAATGAGGGAATATTTTTCTAACTGTACATTGCCAGCGGAAATTACAAAACACTTCCAATTCAACATTGGCGAGAGACAAAAGAAATTATTTTTATTATTATTTTTATTATTTATATTATTTTTATTATTTTATTGATAAACAATGCTATTGTTCTTATATTTAAAGACATTTAAACGACATTTTAAACGAAATGGATTTAATTTAACTTTCATTTCTCCCCCTTCTAGTGTCGCTAGCGTTTTAACCCCTTGCGCTGGCAACTGATTGCGGACCATAACGAGTGACCGGACCGTACACAGTAATTCGTCGCTTTCTTTTTGAACTTGGAGCTGGATAGAAATTATTGAGAAGTAATAAATTTATTATTTGTTTTACCTAGGTTATATTTGAATATATTATACTTGTATTATATATATATATATTTATTATATATTATATATTAAAAATAAATATATTTATATGAGTTATATTTAAATATATATTATATATATAAATATATTTAGATGGGTTATATTTAAATATAATATATATTATATATTATGTATATAAATATATTTATATGGGTTATATTTAAAAATAATATTAAAAAACGAAACTACAGAACGAATATTTTCTCTGCAAATCTCTTTCACATTCTGTTAAAGGGAACGAAGGTGTAGCATCGCGTGAAATTTTCTAAAGTCTAAAAGATTGTTGTTGCATCGTAGAATCGCACGGTTGCGAGCATAACACGCTCGGGGAAGCCTCTTACTCGGAGGCCAGGCTCCTTACAGTTCGCGAAGTTGAGGAAGTAAACGAAGAGGAAACAACTTGACGGAACATGACAGGAAAACAGTTACAGCCACGAATGCAACAACGAATGCACACTGGCCCCCACGAGATATCTTTGGTTTAATTACTTGTTGATAATGTTTTCAAACTGTAGCGACGAACGAGAAGAAGAGTCTCTCCGACGAATGTTTCTGCTGTTGGAAAATTTCTTCGGTCATAGTTCAAGTGACGTATCGCGCACGAACAAAAAGATCCGTAGAATCGTACAAAATTCGTAGGGATTCTTACTTTACAAAATCGGTAACAAAATTCCCCGGGCACCTAACGTATATAATAATTCAATGACTCTAATAATTCAACCAAGCACAACAGCCACTTTCAATCTTCGTGTTACTGGACGTTCCACTAAGATTTCGAAATAATTGGACAAAATTGCAGAATCAAGAACGTACGTACCTACTTCGTACAAATGGCAAATGCTCCTCCACCGTTCGTCTATCGAAGCCCTCGTCGTTTATCCTAAACTTGCTCGTCGTTGGTAATTTGGTTCTAACTCGAACACACACACACACACACACACACACACACACAGAGAGAGAGAGAGAGAGAGGCAGAGGACAAAAAAAA